ACTTGCTTTGGGTAGTATGGACATTTTCATAATATTAATTCTTCCAACCTGCAAACCCAGGATATCTTTCTATTTATTTGTGTCATCTTCACTTTCTTTTATCATGTCTTAGAGTTTTCAGAATACAGGTCTTTCATCTCCTTGGTTAAATTTTTTCCTAGGTATTTTATTCTTGTTGATGCAACTATAAATGGGATTGTTTTCTTAATTTGTCTTTTTGCTAGTTCATTATTAGTATATAGAAATGCAACAGACTTCTGTATATTGATTTCTATATATTGATTTTGTATCCTGCAACTTGACTGAATTCACTTATTAGTTCTGGTAGTTTCTGGGTGGAGGCTTTACAGTTTTCTGTATATAGTTGTCTGCAAATAATGATGGTTTTACTTCTTCCTTACCAGCTTGTACACATTTCATTTCTTGTTCCTGTCTAATTTCTGTGGCTAGGATTTCCAGTACTATGTTGAATAAAAGTACAAGAGTGAGCCATCCTAGTTGTTCCTAATGAGAATGCTGTCAGCCCTAAACTGTTGAATATGATGTTAGCTGTGGTTTTGTCAATTGACCTTTACTATATTGAGGTATGTTCTCTCTATACCCACTTTGTTTAGAGTTTTCATCATAAATGGATGTTAAATTTTTGTCTAATGCTTTTTCTGCAGCTACTCAGATGATCCTGTGGTTTTTAGCTTCCCTTTAATGTGGTGTATCACCTTGATTGATTTGCAGCTGTTGAACCATCCTTGCATCCCTGGAATTCATCCCACTTGATTGTGGTGAATGACCCTTTACATATTGCTGAATTCAGTTTGCTGATATTTTGTTGAGGATTTTCGCATCTGTGTTCATCGGGGATATTGGCCTGTAACTTACCTTTTCTTGTAGTGTCTTTAGTTTAGGTATCAGGGTGATGCTGGCCTCATAGAACAAACAAACTTGAAAGGGTTCCTTCCTCTTCAGTTTTTGGAGTATTTTTAGAAGGACAGGTATTGACTCTTCTTTAAATATTTGGTAGATTCCCCTGTGAAGCCATCTGGTCCTGGAGTTGTTTGTTGGGAGTTTCTTGATTACTGATTGAATTTCATTACTCATAATCCATCTGTTCAGATTTTCTATTTCTTCCTGATTCAGTCTTGGAAGATTGTGTATATCCAGGAATCTGTCCAATTCTTCTAGGTTGTCAGTTTGTTGGTGTATATTTCTATCTTAATATTGTTGGTAGGTGAAAAGCAGGAAAATAATCCCTTGTGTAGAAATTACACATGTGAACACGTGCCTAGAGTGCCAGTGGAAACAAATGTGCCAGACCATTCATGCATCCTGTAAATGCAGTGAGCACCTGCTCTATGTCAGACAGAGGCACTGGGGCAATATTTAAGGAGATAATGGATTAAAATGTTCCAGAATCAAAGCAAATTATACTGTATCGTGACAGCTGTCATTCGTAGTACTGACTCTGAACGCAGGTGGGGTTAAGAAGTGCTCTCTGAATTATCTTTGTTGGGAAGTAACAATTATGAGGAAGGCACCAAGCTGCATCAACAGATCAGGTTATTCGATTAAGTGATGTCAAGAAAAAAATGTGGGATTTAGAGTCCATTTCCAGGCCATGGGCAACCCACCCCTCAGACCATTCACCCTCAGACTGAGAGTGAAACCACCTTTCCTACCTACCTCCCAGTGCTGCTGTGAGGTGAAGTGCAGTCATGTGTGTGGAAGTGCTTTTAAAACTACTCCAACAAGCAGGAGCAGCTGCCCTTTACAGTTCTTCTTTAATGAGGGCATGTCAGGCCGATTCCTCCTCTCAGTTCCTAGCTATTCCTGATGGAACTTCTGTGGAGTTCCAGGAAGGTGGTGTCCTCAGTGTGCCTCGCAAGGAAGTGGGCAGCTCCCTCCCCATGCAGTGGACCTTGCTCCGATACAGGTGGTCCTGGGCACCTCACACCCTCGAGCACTGTGTCAGCTTCTGGATTTATAACCTAAAAGATAAGGAGAAAGACTGCTTGCTTTCTTCCACTTTGATCAGTTGATGGGGGAGATTGTGCTACCAACATTTTTTAATTTCTAACATTGTTTTCCTTTAATCTTAAAACATAGTTAAAATATAACTATTTTCAGAAATAGAAAACGTGACTTTATTGAGAAATGCTAAACCAGTGAATTTCTAAACTGTATACAGGTGATTTTTAAATTATGGCTTCATTCATTTACATATCACAGTGCAGGAAATTTTTATGTATTTGAGAGAAGATTTTAAGTCTTAATATGACATTGGAATTTTGACAATTTTTGTCTGACACAGTCCAGCCTCTGTTCTTAAGCATTTTCCACTTTAACTCATCATTGACTCATTTAACCACCCTGTGAAGCAGGGGTCACCATTATCCCAATGTCTAGAGAAGATGACCAAGGCCCAGAAATGCTGACTGACTGGCCCATGAGCTCGTGTGGCCCATGTGGTCGCCTTGGGGCCTCGCTGCTCACTGGCATGTAATGTGCCTGGCTGGCCTGAGCAGGACCTGAGCGGCTCTTCTCTGCCTATGCCAACGTCTCTGCTCCGTCTGGAAGAAGGTGCCCTCGGTGTTCAGGGGTGGATCAGACCAACCTGCAAGACCCCTGGGATGAGTGCCTGAGACACCCTGTCCCAGGGCCACTCTGCAGGTGGGCCATGCCTGTGCTTGTTGGTGGGCCCGCCGTCCTGCTGGGGCCAGGCGGTGACAGCTGGCTGCTCGGCGGGAGCAACAGCAAACAGTCCCGGGCACTCGCGACACGGGTGCGTCATCCACGCTGATTCTGGCTTGGACAGAGACAGGGTGAGTGGGGGACCTACTGCGAGGGCACGTGAGTCGCTCAGGTGTCACCTTCTCGTGACGTGGACACGTCACCAAACGTCACGTCACTCCCTGGTTCACCGGCAGCATTTCTCTTGGGGCATCACCGGATGTAAGCCAGATCTTCTCGGGGGGCTTAGCTGACAAAACAGCAGTTGGTTCTAACCTGAAGGAAGAGCCAGAGTCGGGCCTGGAAGAGATGGTGTCGGTTTCCAGCCAGGAGGATTTCCGTGGCTGTTTCCGCATACAGTGTCTGTGTGTTCCTGCCTGTGCTGACTTAACAGTTGGCCCCTGCCCAGGACAGGTGCCCATATGGGACAGGACGAGTGGATGCTGAAGGCCCGGGAAGACCCAGGACACCCCTGCGCCCTCGCTCACCTGGGCTTCCTCGTTGTCTCCCTGCAGACCAGCCCCAGCCTTGAGCCTCCTGTGCCACTTCCCTCTCCTCAGGGCTGCCTGCCTGGGCATTCCTCCCCAAGCTGTTCCCTGTGTGTTACTAGCTGGGCTTGACTGAGTGCACCAGCAGCCCACAGCTCTCAGCTCTCAGCAGCTCTGCCAGGGCTCATCCCTTTGTTCATTGAGCACCTCCTGTGTTCTACCCACCAGCAGTTGGGGGTGAAGGCGATGCACGCCTGCCCTCGGTGAGTGCACACAGTTCACGGGGAGTGTGCGTCTCACCCGGAAGGTTTTCATCCTTGAGTAAGAAAGTCAGCAGGCACTTCAGGCCACCTAGCAAATGAGGGCCCTTGCCCCACATACGTGTACATACACCCTAAATCCCACCGCCCCATGATTGCTGCTCCAGCACAAGTCAGACCTCCTCAGGTTCGTCCCAGCGTGGATTTCCCGAATGAAAGGACACGACCTTGTGTGGTAGGTCGAGTGAGGTGTGGGAGAGTCCTGGGAGGAGCAAGACCCCGGCCACCTGCTGGCACTCAGCCCCGTTGGGCTGGTGTTCTCCCTGCACTTTTGAGCTCTGTCTCCCAGCTTCTTAGGGGACATGCCAAGAGAGAGGTCTCCTGCTATTTCCAGTCTGTGCCACCCTAACTGGAGGAGCAGGGGACCAGACCCGGGAAATGTTTATGATGGCGTATTAATTTTCAGAGCCAGCCTACATAATTTTAATTACATGTGATCTCAACAAAGTAAATAATATGCACTGAAAGGAAAACACCTTTATGTCAGTGGTGTGGGTAATGGGATTAATTCACTTTCATTCCTCTCATTTTCCAAGTCTTATAGAATGCACATGGTTTTATAATCAGAATTTTTCTCCAATGAAAAAAATCAAATGAGGCCTATAAGGCAAAGGGGAGGTAGAATTAACACAGTGGCACAGTTGGGGCACAGAAGGTCTGTCAAGAGCTAGTTTGGCACCAAGGCTTCTGGTAACCAAAGCAGAAAGGGGAAGAAGCAATGTTGTTAACAGAATTCTCAGCTTCCAAAAGCCAGTCATTGCTCAGCAGAAGCCAAGCTTTTCCTAATACAGAAAAGTCCCCAAAGAGCGATGAGATCTGTGTCCTCAGCCAGTGAGCCTCCGACTGGAATGCTGTGAATCCTTACATGGGGCCGGTCATTAGCAGGAGCTCCCTTGTGATCTGTGCAGAGCAGTCCGGCTTCCTCTGCTGTCTTTGAAATGAGAGGGTAGCAAGCAGGGACCGTGCAGAGGGGTAGTGTCTGGTCCAAATGTGATTGTGCCCTGGAAGAGTAAGCACGCCTTGATCCAAGACAGACTTGCCTGGGAAAACCAACAGCCGTCGCGTCGGAGCTGCAGGCACCCCCGTGCCTGCTCCCTGGCTTCTCTGCAGGCCGCCTTCACCTCCAGATCCCAAGAAAGCTTTGGGGAAGCTGTTGAGACCAGTTGGAAAAGAGATACGTGAACACGTTTCTGAAAGCCATTTATGTAAATAGGTGGAATCCATATAATGATACTCAGTTGGAGTTGTCGCGATGTGTACCTGCCCGGTGGGGTCCAGCTCCATCCCGTCCAGAGCATAACAGCCTGGTGCAGAAGTGCTGCTCAGAGACCCTGCAGCCGGAGGAGCCAGAGGCCCAGACGCACTGGTTGGCTCCGGAAAAGAAAACGTCCCGCAGCGTCCATGTGGCTTGTTGTCTGCTGATGACTGGCTAATGAGGCAGTGGTGAGAGCTTTGTTTCCAGGAAGGGTTAATAGTTTTCTAAAAAAAACAGCTTTTCTGAACAGGATTTCTGACAGATGGACATAGTCGGGTTATGCTGTTCACTTGTAAATGAAGTTAAAAATGGACCCAAGAACAGCCACCAGTCCCGACTTGCCCACTGCTCGGGGAATCGCTCAGTGAGGCTGGCCATCAGCGTGCCTTCGCTGTCTGGCCACTGCCAGGCCTCCCCTGACCTAGACAGTTCAGGTGCCCTGCTTTCCTGCCGCTCCAGCAGAGAACTAACTGATTGTGGCTTACTCAGGTAAGGTGGGAGTGATTGGCAAGTAGAGAGGTAATTGAAAGATTGAGGATAGCTTCTGCTTCCCAGGTCAGGGCAGCCTCTCTACCCCTTGCCATTAACCTCACGCTCCTGGCCCCATGTGTGCGCACATACGCCAGGAGGAGCTTCCCTGTCAGTGGGGTTTGCAGTAAGATTTGTGTCTTGACAGCTCATGATGGAAGTTTGCACCTATAGAAACTCCAGATTACATCATTGCAAATCATAGGACATAGACTTGGGAATGTCCACAGTTCCAACACAGTATAAAATCTGATGCACTGATCTTACTACGCTGATGGACAGTGACTGTGAAGGGGTATGTGGAGGGGACTTGGTGAAGGGGGGAGCCTAGTAAACATAATGTTCTTCATGTAATTGTAGATTAATGATACCAAAATTAAAAAAAAAAAACCACACACACACAAAAAAAAATCTGATGCACTGAAAGTAAACTACAGGCTATGGACTTCAGCCAGACCTGACGTGGGCACAACAGCCTAGCAAAGTGGGCCCTCGATGGAAAATAGAGGCCTGGATGGAGATCTGCACTCTTGTTTCCTTGGCATCATGTGTTCTCATTTTGTGATCTGCACAGAGAGGGGTAAAGCCCCTGACGAGTGTGTCCACAGGCAGTGCTTGGAAGGGGCTTTGGACTTAGGCAGCCAGGGGTGCCAATCTGACTCTTCCCGGAGGAGTGACCCACCACCAGCCTAAGCCTCAAGCACCTCACCTGCAGGCCAGGTGGCTGCTGATTGAGCAGGTGAGGTCAGATGTGACAAGTGGCTTGGCTGAGTTCCTGGTCTGTGGGAGCACCGCCTACTCCTAAGAGGAGGAGCAGCTGTGAGAAACCTCTTTTCACTCTGGAAAGCCTCTTGCTGAAAAGTCCCCTGTGGGACGGCTGTGAGGATGTGAGGGTCCCTGGACTTCCCAAGGAAATCTAAGCCCCTCCAGGGCAGACCCGATTTTACCTTAGTCTGGACCCAAGCAGGCTGATAGCGCAGCGTGCTTGAGTGAGGGCCGGCGCCCAGTGGCCTGCACACGGGATGCCTCGTGCTTAAACCCGCCCCCTAAACCTACGCCCCCACTGCACAACAGCCTGCCGGGCTCCAGGCGGCCCAGTGCCGACAGCCACCTGTGTGCAGCTCCCTCGCGCTGAAAACCACGTCGTCCCTGCTGCGCTCGCTTCCCACGCAAGCTCTCCCAGGACACCCTGTGACGACTACCACGCAGCCCCGAAGCGGTCAGCGTGCGCCCTCGGGCACGTTCCCCGGGGAGCCTCCTCTGAGAGGACGGTAGCCCGCTGAGGCCCGTGAAGTGTGCCACGTCCCGCCCCGTGGCCCTGGTGCCGCCGGCTCCCACCCGTCTGCTCATCCCACGCTGCACACCTCACACCGCGCACCCCAGCACGCGCCCCGGCCCCCGTCGAGGCTGTGCGCCCCCCCCCGGAGCTCGGGGGGCGCCCCTGGGGGCCGCACAGCGGGGCTGCCCACGGGGAGTGCACGCTGACCCGCGGGGGCGCCCAGGTCTCCCCGAGTTGTTCGCGGAAGTCACCGCCTCTGACTTGAAGCCCGCTGCCAGGGCGGGTTCGTCCTGTGCCCGCGCCCCGGCCCCCGGCCTCTGCTGGCCGCCGTGGAGCCCCGCTCGGGCGGCCCAAACGTCAGTTTGCTCCCGGGACTGTCCGGAAAGCGGCTTCCTGCGTTCTCTGATTTTAGATTTGGTGGCATAAACTCAGGAGCGACACGGCTCCCCCCTGCAGCCCTGGCTGCCCCCCCTTACTTCCCTCCCCCGCCCCTCACTCCGTGCCACCTGCCCGCGCCCTGAGGCCGTTGGGTTGGGACTCCTCCTCCTCCGGGCCGCCCCCCCTTTCCCGATGCTTTTCAGGAGAAGCCCCCCTTCTCTTCCCCCTCCCCTCTCCCCCAGGCCCGCCGCAGCCTCTAGGCTCCCCTCGACCCCCCCCTCTGGTCAGCTTAGGCTGGAGACCCCGAGGCCAGGCCGGTGGGCTTCTCAGCGGCTCCCCCTCCTCGCGTGCCCCCGCCCCGGGTCAGTTCTGCCGCCAGAGGCCCACCCCTTGGGCTGTGTCCCGCCCACCTCGCGCGGAGCTGCAGCCCGGTGGGCCGGCCGGCAGGAAGGCACGAGGCCACCAGCTTTCCTTCCTCAGGAGCTCTGGGCCCCCCTCTCTCTTCCTGCCCTCCCTCTTTCCTGGTCAGTGTCTGTTTTTATGACAATTTACCCAAAGACTGATTAGCTGGAAAACGTCATTTGGCCGAGTTGAAACCAAGTAGGTAGATGATCGCCACAGTTGCAGTTTTGGAGCCCAGTGTGTCGTGAGCCACCCCGGTGTCCGCAGCAAACTGCTCCCTGGCCTGAGCTGAGCAGTGACTCTGGTGGGGGCAGAGGCCCAGTTAGCCCCACCCGGAGTGGAGGGGCCCGGCCAGGCCAGGAAAGCACACTCCCCCACTTGGGGAAATGGTAACGCAAGGGGATCCGATGAAAAGGGGACTTTTCCTGACAGCATGTGGCCTGTTCAGGAGTCACAAGCCGCAGAGCCGCGGTGTGACCCTCTGTCGATTAACTAACATCTCTTTAATTTTTCTGCCTTGTAAATAGTCTTCAGTCTTCATGCTTTTTTACCTCCTCGTCCTGCCCCTCCGAGAACTAGACTCTTTAAATGCCCAGATGACAGTGACAACAGCTTCTTTTCCTTCAAGGAAAACTAAAATGGAAAGAAGCAACTCAAAGTCGTTAGCCAAACAACAAAAGCCATGTAGAGTGACAGGTGCTCAGAATTTATTTGCTACATTAGAAAAGGCCCCACACCTCATGGTGCCCTGGAGGAAGACGACTGAGGTTTCCACAGAAGCTAATGAGCACCCTCAAGTGGAACACACTTGATGCTTTTCTTAAAGAGAGAGACGCCGCCCCGTGGCCGGCGCCTCTGGGTGCTTTATGAGCGTCATAAACCGCTGATCCACCTCAGCTCCAGAGCCGCCCCCTGCCCCCCGCCCCCCGCCGCCATCTCGCTTGGGTGAGCAGCACGTTTAAGATGTTGTGAGGCGTTCCTTGACAAGGTGGTTTTCATACAGAGAAATGTGCTCCTCCTAGAACACACGGTGCTAGAGTCCTGAGGCAAACACATCTTTTATGACTTTGCTGTTCTTATTTGAAATTGCTGCAGATCCTCACAAATTTGGAGCAAGGCTTAGCTGAAGACGGGAGTGTGAGCAGCATCTCGCGGGAGAGCAGACAAGGTCAGTGGCCGGACTCCCCTCGCTGGTGACTGCCGGGGGCCATCCAGAGCCAGCCCCAAAGGCTTCTGGGTCTCATCCTCCAGTTCTCTCCTTGCTCTGTGGCGTTCCTTCCTCCCACACGTGCGTTCCCCGTTCCTTCTCTGGGAAGCTGAGGCCGCGCCCGGTGCTGTGAGGCCTCAAGAGCCGAGCCAGGTGCTGGCGCCCAGCGGATGACAGACAGACAGACAGACAGGAGAGCAGGGCTGGTCTCAGGGGACAAAGACGGCCTGCAGAGTTGAGAAGTGCGCTGGGGCGGGGTGACAGGTGCCCGCGGGGAGTCGGCTTAGATTCTGTGTCGTCCTGTCCTGCAGCCTCATGGGTGAGGGCACCTGTGACTTTGCAGGTGGCACTTCTGTGCCCTCATCGCATTGCTCCTCACAAAGCCTGCACAGCAGAGAAAATAGCCTCCTCCCATTCAGAAGGTGATGACCCAGGCCGTGGTAACCTGCACTCAGTGCTGCAGCCCCAGCCTGCTGGTGGGAGGGAGGCCGGAAGGCCTTGCAGAGCAGCTCTGGGCTGTGGGCCCTCCCCAGCTCACTGTCTTACCATTGAGCGGTCAGGCCAGGGCAGGCCGGTGCACAGGCTCTCTGGGTGCTGCGTCTAGAGGCCAGGCCCTGGTGGGGCCATGCAGCTCTCTGCTCTGAAGCCCAGTGGCCACCCTCTGGGTTGTTTGTTTGTTTGTTTGTTTGTTTATTATTAAGGCATCATTGATATACACTCTTATAAAGGTTTCACTAGAAAAACAATGTGGTTATTACATTCACCCTTATTATCGATTCCCCCCCATACCCCATTGCAGCCATTGTCCATCAGTGTAGTAAGATGCCACAGAGTCCCTATTTGTCTTTTCTGAGCTACACTCTCTTCCCCATGATCCCCCCACACCATGTGTGCCAATCATGGTACCCGACAATCCCTTCTTCCCCCCCTCCCCACCCGCCCTACCTCATCCCTCCCCTTTGGTAACCACTAGTTCATTCTTGGAGTCTGTGAGTCTGCTGCTATTTTGTTCCTTCAGTTTTGCTTCATTGTTATACTCCACAAATGAGAGAAATCATTTGGCACTTGTCTTTCTCCGCCTGACTTATTTCACTGCACATAATGTCCTCCAGCTCCATCCATGTTGTTGCAAATGGTAGGATTTGTTTCTTTCTTATGACTGAATAGTATTCCATTGTGTATATGTACCACATCTTCTTTATCCATTCATCTACTGACGGACACTTAGGTTGCTTCCATATCTTGGCTATTGTAAATAGTGCAGCGATAGGGGTGAATATGTCTTTTTGAATCTGAAAAGTTGTTTTCTTTGTGTAAATTCCTAGAAGTGGAATTCCTGGGTCAAATGGTATTTCTATTTTGAGTTTTTTGAGGAACCTCCATACTGCTTTCCACAATGGTTGAACTAGCTAACATTCCCACCAGCAGTGTAGGAGGGTTCCCCTTTCTCTGCATCCTCGCCAACATTTGTTCCTGTCTTTTCTGTGTTGGCCATCCTAACTGGTGTGAGGTGATAATCTCCTTGTGGTTTTAAGTTGCATTTCCCTGATAATTAGCAATGTGGAGTGTCTTTTCATGTGCCTCTTGGCCATCTGAATTTCTTCTTTGGAGAAATGTCTGCTCATATCCTCTGCCCATTTTTTAACAGGGTTATTTGCTCTTTGGGTGTTGAGGCGTGTGAGTTCCTTATATATTTTGGATGTTAACCCCTTGTTGGATCTGTCATTTACAAATACATTCTCCCATACTGTAGGATGCCTTTTTGTTCTGCTGATGGTGTCCTTTGCCATACAGAAGCTTTTTAGCTTGATGTAGTCCCATTTGTTCATTTTTTATTTTGTTTCCCTTGCTAGAAGAGATGTATACAGGAAAAAGTTGCTCATGTTTATATTCAAGAGATTTTTGCTTATGTTGTCTTCTAAGAGTTTAATGGTTTCATGACTTACACTCAGGTCTTTGATCCATTTTGAGTTTACTTTTGTGTGTGGGGTTAGCCAGTGATCCAGTTTCATTCTCTCACATGTGGCTGTCCGGTTCTGCCAGCACCAGTTGGTGAAGAGGCTGTCCTTTCCCCCTTGCATGTCCGTGGCTTCTCTGTCGTATATTAATGGGCCACACATGCCTGGGTTCATGCCCAGCACCCTCTGGTCTTGCTGCTGAGCCTCGCCTGCAGCCATCTCTCCCCAGGTCCACGCGGGCCCTGTGCACGTGTGCTCAGCTGCGCAGTAAGCATCCAGGCCGAGGCCCGCAGAGAGGCCCCCTGGGCCAGAGGCCCTGGGACCCGCAGCAGGCGGCTGGGACGCGCCTGGGGCCGCGCGCACACCTGCACCGCTCCTGTCCCGCAGCCTCCGTGCGGCTCTGGAGGTCCCGACTGGGCCGGGCGATGTGCTCCGTGGCGAACTGCCTGCTCCTGATGAAGGTGTGTATGTGGGGGGAGGGCGCCGCCGAGACCAAGCGACTGCCGGGCCCACGATGGGGAAGCGCCCCTGGTGGGCGCGAGGGTCTCCCCAGGCCGGGCTCAAGAGCACTTGGGGGCCGATTCACTGCAATTTCCACTGAAAGAAATTTCCACAGGCTGTGCAATTTGCCTTGTCAGATTTAAGTGCTCAAACACGGGTCTAGATGGCTTAATTAAAAACATCACTCACGCTTTCCCATTCTCTCCTATTTTTCCCTGAATTCCATCCCAGAGAGGTAGCCCTTGTCTCCCTGGGATGGAGGAGGTGTCTGTTCCTTGCCCTGCTCTGCCATGGTGACGATGGTCATGGCACCTGGCACAGGCTCCCCACGAGGGCTGGCCCCAGAGCCTGCAGGCCCCCGAGGGGACAGCTCAGGGTGGAGGAGGCTGGGCTGAGGGCCTTGTGTGCGGTCTGTTCCCTTCCCCAGCAGGCCCTCCCCAGCTTTGCGGCAGTGTCTCCGGCATTTCCCATGCTGAGAGCTGCAGAACCCCTCCAGGCTCACCTGGGCACCAGGAGCAGCTGCTGACCCCCCTCTGGGCCGTCATGACACCCACACGTGCCTCCTGCCCACAGGCCCAAGGGCATCAGAGGGCTGCTTGGAGGGGGCCCTGCCTTCTAGGCCCCTGCGGTGGGGTGACTGGGGCACAGTGGCCCTACAGCGGCATTTCCTGGCCTCTGCTCCGCCATCTGCACTACTAGGCACATAACTGATGCCTGACCCGCCCCTGCTCCGTCCTCCCCGCGCCCTGGGGCCGAGGGCCTCTGAGTTTGCTCAGCGTGTTTCCCCCTCAGTCCCCATGTCTGCCACCTCCCGCACTCCGCTGCCCGTCGGTGGTACCATTCTCATCCCGCTGTACCCATAGCGCTGTACCCATCCCGCCGTACCCACTGCCTCTGCAGTGCTGCAGCTGCCGCCCCAGCTGTCCGCTTGCCAGAAAGGCACCCACTTCTGCAAAGAAAGGAAGAACTGTAAATTTGCAGGGCTGACGTTTCATTAATCATGGGGCCAAAACTCTTCAGGAGGGAAGCTACCTGTTCCACTAGTGGGTTTTTATTTGCATTTTTAAGAATGTTAAGAGAAAGTTATGGGCTAAAAATGCCTTGATCCCCCACAGGCACCAGACTTGCCTCCCACCTGCGTTATCAGCACTCAGTGCAGAACACAGCATTGTGTTTCCAGAATAGTTTTGCAATGAATGTGCAAATGATTTAATGTGCAGATGATTTTATTTGAATTTTTCGATTAATTTTTCATTTTCGTGAGTTAAGACATGAAAATTTGCAGTGAAGCGCCTCAGCAAGCATGTGCCTTCTCTCGCCACCCCGTGAGTGTGCCCACATTGCGGCTGTGTGCAGCCCTAACACAGGGGCGGCTTGGTAATGACACCTATGAGCTATTTAATTGCAGTGAAATAAATAGCACATGACTTCCCTTTGGGGAGATGCTTGTTCCTGTGCCTCATCCCCAAGGATCTGCATAATACACCATGAGGCACAGTGCAGGTGTCCCAGAGCCTGGGAATGCCCACCAGTCTCACCTCCTCTCAGCTTCGCAGTAGCGCTGGGACCCCACCAGCAGGCCACAGGGAGGTGCATGCTGCCTCGGAGGCCTGGCTAGCCCTGCGCCCCGACAGGCCCACGTCTCTGACCCTGCACAGGCTGCCCGCTCATCCCTCCTCACGTCGTTTAAAGGACCCTGCAGCCATGTGGACCACCTTCATCTTGCTCAAGTTGCCACCTTGTCCTTTCTGGTTGCAGATGGTTATAAATCATTTCACAGCCACCAAACGAATGTGTCTGCAGAAAGGAAATGGGTGACAGTTGAGCTAAAACGGGTTTGTCCTGTTCGCCGGCCATTCACCCCCATTCAAAGCCAAATCCGTATGATCTGCAGAACCGACTAAGCTATCTGGACAGCTCGCTTTAGCCATTTTCCCCTAAAGGGGCCATATTTCCTCCACGTCTAGTAAATAATAACCTCCTTACCGCAGCTGTGTGACACACTCCCGCTTGCCGTGTCTGATGACAGGCCCCGTGAAACAGGCCAGGGCCCCCCGCGGCTGTAGCTGCCCTGGGGTCGGCTCCTGCCGGGTCTGAGGTTCGGCACCCATATTCCGCAGTCCCTACTCCTTGTTGTTTGACCTCTGACCTGGAACCCCTCTCTCTCACTCTGTTCATGCCTGGATCTGCCCGGAAGCGCCCTCTTGGGAGAGCCGTGTTCCCACAGACTGACGGGAAGGTGACTTCCCTCCAGGGACCGTGGCTTGGGTTTTCCTGTCCTTTCCATACAGATTCACCTTCGCAAACACTGACTCCTGACCTCTGGTACTGAAACATAAGTTTGTAGTGTGCAGTGATAGTGGCCACAAAGCCACCCGAGAAGGGACACAACGCGGTGGCCTCATCACTGGAGTGAGTGACACACGAGCGCCTACAGGAACATCAGAATTACCTTCTGTTCAGTGCAAACCAAAAGGAAGGGCTGGTGTTGAACCGTGACCAGCAACGCCTCCAGCTGATGATCCACACCCCCGCCCCGAGCTTGGGGTCCTCCTGCCCTCAGCATTGGGCCCAGATGGCCTCAGAGCGGAGGAGTTCTTGGGAGCCAGCAGCTTCCTTCCTGGCTGAATGACCAGCCTGCAGAACCATGTGGCACTCAAGAGCCCTCCTCGCGTCAGAGCACCAGACGCACACGGGAGCGTGGGCTCCCTCCCGCGGGTCGGAAGGCACCGTGGGATCCAGTGCCTGTCGCGGGGCCCTGGATTCGGTGTTCTTGTGTGTACTGGAGGCCTGCCTCCACGCTTACCTACACCCCGTGAGCCTGCAAAGCTCGCTGTGAGTGTGGAGGTTGTCACACCTTGGGAGTCCCCACTCTGCCCAAAGTCCCTGTGGGCCTGGAGCTCGACCTGACCCGGGCCTGCAGCCCGTGAGGGTGCCCACCACCCCAGCTGTGCCTCTGCCTCCCCAGGGCTCCCCCACACTAGGCAACAGGTGGCACCGCCCCCGGTACCCGCTCACCCACATACACGCTCACTCATATTCACCCTTGTACGATGCACTCACCCTTACACACCAACCCACACCTACTCACATTCACCCTCGCAGACATACACTCACTCTTACACACTTGCCCACACCTGCGCTCACTCGCACATGCACACACACTCCTGCACACATACACCCTGCCTGCCACAGGCTGCAGTGACAGTAGGAAGCTGGGGGAGGACAGGGCAAGTGCTGTCAGGCTTCTGTGGATGCCACACCTTAAATAAGGTGCCAGACTGGAGAGGGTCTTTTCATTTTTGTCCTGTTAAACTGGAATTTTACTTGTCATCTGGTTTCTCTGTAAAGTCCCAGTTAGCAGACCCATGACTCCAGGCCCAGCTGGGATGAGATTGAAAAATAGGAAAAACTGCCGCTGATTGCCATAGGGATTGCTGACCATGAGGCATCTCGGGGTGATCTCAGAGGACAGCACAGTGCCCTGTACAGCATGCCCGGTAAACGGTGGGGCTGTCGCTGTCCTCCTGAGAGCCTGGCCTCGCTGGGGGTGGGAGACTGAGGCCGGCGGACTGACCCAGGTGACTGGTCAGACCGCGTCCCTCCGAGAACTGCTCCCTCACCCCTGGAGGAGGTGACCACCAGCGAGAGGGCTTTTGTGCCCCAGGCCCCATCACCACCGGGCAGCGGGGGGGTGCCCTCTTCCTCTGTGAGTCTGCAGGCACTTGAGCGCAGCAGAGTCCGTGAAACAGTCATCTTCTTAACCGACGTGTCCTTGGCTACCCCCGCAGGACTACGTGCTGGCTGTGGGCGCCTATCACTCCGTGATCCAGTACCACCCCGAGCAGGAGCCACAGCTGCTGAGTGGCATCGGCCGGATCTTCCTCCAGGTGTGTGGCCCTGAGCACGGCGCCTGTGGGCAGGCTCTGCCTGGGGCCTGGGGCTTGGCTTTGATTGTGCAGATTTAAGACATAGTACAGAAAATATACTTGACCCTCCACCAACATAGATTGGAACTGTGCAGATCCACTTACACACAGAATTTTTTCAGCTGGAAAATTTTTTTGAGATTTGAGACAATTTGAAAAAGTTCCACTAGCTTACTTTATTATAAGAATACAGTATGTAATGCATGTAACATATGAGATGGTGTGTTATCAGTAAGGCTTCTAGTCAGCAGTGGGCTCTTAGTAGTTAAGTTTTCAGCTCCCTGGGGAGTTGCGCCCCTATACCTGCATTGTTCAAGGTCTGCTGTATTTCAGTTCACACTTCTGTGAGTGTTAAAAGGGTTAGTTCTTTAGCTCCCCTCTGACTGCATTAAGTCCTGCTGGCTTTGACATGAGTAGGAAGCCAGTTGCTAAATGTGAATTTACATAGATTTTCATCTGTGAAGCACTGAAACAAATTAAATTCAGAAATTGTCCTGTTTAAGTGAAAAAAGTTGACAAAACCCTAAATAATGTCACTTCAACTTGGCTGATAACACAGTGGAAGGTCACCACATTCAGTGGTGATTCACCGGCACGTTGCTGGCAAGAGCACGTGAATCCTTGGGGACGGGACAGAGGAGGTCTGGCATGAGCAGTGGCTCCAACAGGGCAGCAAGGGTGGGGTGGGGGCAGTACTTCCTTCGCCAAGAACGCCACTGGGGCCGGGATGCACTTCCCTGAGCTGTGCTGGCAGAGCAGCGGGCACCCTTCCTCTCTTCTGTCGGCCCAAATGGCGGCCGCACCCTCCATCTCTCAGGTCTGTGCTGCACTGTCCCAGCGCTGGGGCCGGACAGCCTGGGCCTGGCCCGCCTGGTGTCTGCATTTGCTCCCAGCAGAGACGAATGTGTGCATGTCACATCTCTGCCCCCGCCCCCAGCCTTGGCTGGCTCTGACTCACCCCAGACCACCGCGCTCACCTCCACGGTGCAAGGTGCAGCACTTCCTGCCGCCGCTGGTTAGAGCCCTGTGGGCCCTCTGGGCCTACTGTCAGGCAAGCCCCATCGGAAGCCCATGTTCCTGGCCCTCCCCAGTTCAGCCCAGACTTATGGTTTGCAGCCTGCTTTTTTCTCTCTGCTTGGACCTCCTTTCCCTCTTTCTGCCTGTCCGAATCCCACCCGTCCACTAGGGCACCCGTGCACTCGCCCTATAGACTCTCCCCTCCCTTTTGTCCTTAGGCACCTTTGGGAATGAGCACACAGAGCTCAGCAGCCCGGCTGGAAGAAGACAGGCACAGAGCTCAGCGCCAGTTGCCTCTGTAAAGTGGCCATAATCATAGCATTTAGAGGATTTCACAGAGAATGAATGAGCCAATCCATGCAAAATACTTTGCACAATACTTGGGACACAGGAAGAGCTCAGGACATAGGATTTCTGGGTTGCTATACCTTTTGCCCTCCTGCTGGACTCAAGGAACTGCCCCTGGTCAGAACTGCCCTTGAAAACCCCTAACCACACAGAGAGAGATGTCACAGAGCATCGAGCACCAAGAACTACAAGCTGGACAGGGGAGGACACAGCAGTGTCCATGTGCAAAAGTCTGGCTGTTGAGCTGGAAGGGAGAGGACACAGCAGAGCTGAGATAAGATTACAAGGGACAGTGAGGCTGCACAGGACAGGGCAGGGTGTGTTTGTTGTGGCAGCCCTGACAAGTTAATAACAGTGAAGAAATCTGATTTAAAGGAGTTGGGGTAACAGTAGAGAGAGAATGGGCCAAGGAGAGGTGAACGAGTGAATGAATGGGCCTTCACTTTCTAGATGACACGGTAGAGCAGGTTTAGAATACTGGCATTACCCTTTCTCTGTGTGTTTCAAATTCTGCATTAAATTCCATTTTTAAGTTATTTCTAAAATTTATGAATTTAAAATAGACCCACCTATGTGTCCTGTCAACAGTTGCTGGACCTCAAAACCAGACATCCACAGGGTGCCACGTGGTGCCTCCCTCAAAATGCCGCACCCATCTCCTCATAACAGACTGCAATTTTAGTATTTCAAACCTATTTCACTTTGGAATAGCTGTCCTCATTCTTTCCAAGGAGTTCATCCTAACTGGCTACTGAGGGAAGGGTCATCTGTTGGTTTGTGCAGTGTTCCCATCACAGGTGTAGAGGTTCGAACACACAGTAGAGTGGCTTGAGGTGCAGGGCCTGGCTGCGTGTCCCTCTCTCCCCTCTGCCTAGTCTCCTGGGCCTGATTACCCTTCACCCACGTGCCCTGCCTGCAGCCAGTGCCCCTGCCCGGGTGGCAGCATGGATTTAAAACCCTGGGGCCTGGTCCTGCTCCTTACAGTCCGTGATTCGGTCCTGCAGAGCTTCCTTGGAGGTGAGGCGCACAGCTGGTGAGCGGAAGAGCATCGGCTGGAACAGGGATTTCCACTTCTGCCAAGGAAATGTGCTGCCAGCGAGACTGGGGATACGCGGATTCTGGGGAGTCTCTTCATCTAAATTAAGAGCAGAATAACCAGATCTTTGAATACACAAGCACCAGTTTCTTCCTCCATTCACAGGTTCTATAGTCTGACATTGACTCCGACTCCCACGGTCTCCTTTGGGCTGTGGTTTTTCTATCTTGGAAAGTCGAGAGTAGAATAGACAGGTGGGTCTTAGGGGCTCATCCCTCATACCTGGAAAGTAGCCTTGTGCCGACGTGAAATCGTGGGCAGAGGACTGACTTGGAGCTGACCAAGCTGAGCAGCCTGTGGCTCCTCCATGCCCCGGCCGGGAGCCGGACCTGAGGGCGGCCCAGCAGGAGGGGCCATCGCCGCGGCAGGGCACGGGCCGCGGGAAGGCCTGCGCACCGGGGCAGCAGGGACGGAAGGAGAAAGCGATGCCCTGACTGCGCGCGTCCGGGGACGCTGGGTCTGGCGAAGCGGGGCCTGGACGGCTCAGGGAGGCCTCCACGCATGGTCCTCGTGTGTTCAGCCCCTCGCGCCCCGCAGGGCCTGAAGTTCTGCGGAGAGAGCAGGGGCCGAGGAGTCAGTCCTGGGGCGTCCACGCTCAGGACACTCAGCAGGGAACCTGGAGGGAGCGGCACCCCCAGGAGGAGAAGACAAGCACACTAGGCCACCGAGCAGTAGGTGGCTTGTGTTCTTCGTACGTCAGTCTGTGGCTTTGCCCGTTTGGAACATACCAGTTTGTCTGATGGATTTTAAAGTATGAAAATGGTTTATATACAAGCACGTATAAAATTTGGGACTAATGGTTTTTCTGTAGGAATTTCAGACCTACGTTCTAACTCAAGTCCATCGATAGCAAATGTGAAAAGAAGTGGGATTTTTAGGCAGTCACAAATCCAGTAGCAACCTCACGTGTCTGCAGCGTGGCTCTGCTGGCGCTGGGTGTGCTCACATGGCCTGCCACCGGACAGGGAGATGCCCTTGTCGTCCAGCAACTGCAGAACGTGGACGTTTGGTCTGGAGAGCATTTAACATGGCTGTTGGCAATCTGTAATGGTTTTGGTGCAGCTGAGACGGTGAAGGGCGTGTGGTCAAGGAGAAGCAACTGAAGGAACTGAGAATTGTGGCTGGTGTGAGTCCAGCAGGACAGACGGGGAGCAAGTGCCAGGCTCCCGGGCCTGAGCAGACCCTGCAGGTTGCTGCAGGTTGGGGGGGAATGCTCCCCGACCCTGCCCAACGTAGCCCAGCTTGGCTCTGGGAAGGAGGGGCAGTCAGGTGGCATAGGCTTTCTCAGTTATGCAGAAAGATGCACAGAGCTTGTGGCTGCCGAGGGCAGACCCCAAGAGGTACTAGGGCTCAGGCCTGTTTCCTCAGTCCCTGCACTTGCAAGATCAATCTGTGTGCGCTCTCTTCTCAAAGCATTTGGTACCTCTTTTCTGTCTGTCTTCATAAAAATAAGATAGAGGCTTCCCTCTTTGTTCTCTGAAAAATATTGGATATTTTGGGAGTCCTTTTCCTCAGAGGTTTGAATAATTCACCTAAGAAATGCTCATGCCAAACCCTGGGACTTGTGGAGGGGATGCTGGTGGTTTGTTGTGATTTATTGTTTGTTCCTCTGCTTTGTTGTCCATTGCTGAGGTTTCCCTGTGCTTCTGGGACCCGTTTTGGCAGGTCAGTGGCCTAGGAGGTCTGGTTCAGTCCTCATTTTCTTCTGTGTTTGCACAGTGTTCTGTGAATACAGTCCTCTGTCATAGCTGTTTCGATTTCCTTTCTACCTATAGTCATTTCTCCTTTTACATTTATGATTCTGTTTACATATACTTTTTCTTGATTAGTCCATCCACTTATGCATTGTTGTCTTCAAATAGCTAGTTTGGGTTTATTTATGTGTTTTATTTGCTTACTTACTAGATATTCTGCAATACTTTTAATTGCCTTTTATATTTTTTAAAGCTGCTCTCTTAGAAATTCAGTAGGATTAGAGATCCTATTTACATTTTAATAATTATGAAGGTGTAAACTTTCTAATCCCCAGGAAAATCAGTGGGTGGCAAAGCATAGTCCAAGATTTCTCAGTTATCTTCTGCTAGAATGTAGTTCCAGTGCAAATCCCATAGAGGCCCTATGAGGCCTTCTAGGGCAGAGGGCCAGTGCATGGTCGGGCCTTGGATGGACCTGGGTGTGAGCCCCAGGGTGTATGTTAGCTGGACGACCTGAGAACACCGCCTGACCTCTCTAGCCTCTTTATTCCATCTAGAAGATGAAGATGGTAACTTAGTTATGCTGCCACTGAAGCATGACACCTCTGTAACATGAGAGAGGCGCTAATTATCAGCAGTTAGATGACTGCTTGGCACAGTTCCCACCTCATGTGAGGGATTGAGAAGCCTTTATTACTGGCTAGAGTACCTTTAACACATCGTCTTAAATGGGATAAAGTGACATGTAGGAGACCCCAACGCTGAAGCTGAGGACACGGTGTTGAGGCTGCAGTGACTGGCTGCATTTAGTCCCCTGGTGGGCAGTCTGTGGAGGCACCTCAAGGCTCCAGTGCCAACGGGGAGGCAGCACACGAGTGTGTCATCTTCTCTCTGCATCCCATCTGTGTGCTTCCTTTTGTCCTTCTTCCTCGTAGTGAGGTATTTTTTCTTGGGGGGATTGTCAGTGACTGCGAAGGGTCTGAGGGTTGTCCTCAAGCTCTGACCTCAGCTGCCTGTACCATGGGTGCTGGCAGAAGACACGAGACTTAGCACAGGTGAAGGACTCTGATTACTCAGCAGTGGCCATTTAGCCAGTGTCGTCTTTGCCACCGAACACCAAGCCTGCTTCCTCAGGGTACTGGGAAGAGCACCAGGCCCCTGCAGTGGGTCCTGGACACGGAACCCCAGCCTCCTGGAGAGGTGGTGTGGGACAGAGCGACTGCAGGCCCCCAGCAAGTCAGGCTCTGGGCCAGCGAGTGACGGAGAGGGTGCTTCGTGCGCGTGGTACCTGCCGTGCCCACTCTCTTCCACTGGTCAGACTGCCAGTAGCACAAATCCACAGTTTTATCATAATGAAATTTCCATGTGGACAAAGGACAGTATTTTGTAGGATTTCAGCAGTTACTATAGCGTAGAGCTCCATTCCAGAGTTATTTCTTCAGGCAACTATTGGTTTTTACCTGACCCTTTGTGAA